GTAGGTAGGTAGATAGGTAGGTAGGTAGATAGATAGATAGATAGATAGATAGAGGGATTTTCCATCCACTGGTTCACTTCCCAGATGGCTGCAATGGCTTGGGTTGGGCCAGACCAAAGCTAGGAGTCAGGAACTCCATCTGGGTGTCCCACATGCGTGGCAGGGGCCCAAGGCCTTCGGTCACCTTCTGCTGCTTTCCCAAGCACATTCGCAGGGAGCTGGATGGGAAGTGGAGCAGCCAGGATTGGAACCAGTGCTCATAAAGCATGCTGGTGGTACAGGCAGTGTCTTAGCCTGTTGTACCCTGATGCCAGCTCAGCCTCCTCTTCTAGCATTGTGTGGAAGCAAGACTGTTGTAGAAAGAGGTTAGCAGACTGACCTATTGAAGTCTAACTTATTTAAGAAATCAGGGATGAAAGTTTTCAAGAGACAAAACTTTGGAAAGGCAGATTGGAGAAACCAAGCTTTAGAGGGTGAGCAATTACTTCTTCTCACATCAAGTTCCCAGAGGGCATTCTCATATATCATATGGTAGAATAATAATAATATATATGACAACAATAATGCCAGTGTTGACTCATCCATTAAAAGTCTTAAATACTCAGTATTTTCAGGAGTTAAATCATAGAAATGGTCTCATTTTAGTACTGAGTGAAGCAAGAAGGAGTCTATGTAGTACAATGATTAAAGGCATGGATTTTGAAGTCACATCGACCCAGATTCAGATCCCAGCTCTACCTTGATGTAACGGGCTGTTGTACCTCTCCAGAGAATTGGTTTCCTCTTGAGTAAATGATGGCCTCTCTGACACTTTCTTCAGTAGAATAACACCAGTTCACGGATTGTTGCATCACCTCACTTCAGTTGGGATGGCTGTTATCACAAACAAACAAAAAAGAGCAGATACTGTCAAGGTCGTATAAAAAAGGGTACCCCAATACACTGCTGGTGGGAGTGTAACTTGGTGCAACCATTAAGGAAAACAGTATGGATGTTCCTTAGAACACTAAAAATAGATCTGCCATAGGACCCAGATAGCCCACTCCTGGGAATATAGCCAAAGAAAGTGAAATCAGCATATGAAAGAGCTACACACACTCTGGTGTTTATAGTAGTTCAATTCACAGTAGCGAAGATATGGAGTCAGCTTAGCAGCCTAGATGTCCATTAACTGATGACTGGTGCACGATGGACTGTTACTCAACCATGGACATGGACATGGATGGAATCCTGACATTTGCAGCAAAATGGATAGAACTGGAGTTCATTACGCTAAAAGAAATAAGCCAGATCCAGAAAGACAAATATCACATGTTTTTTCTTATTTGTGGAGGTTAATATAGAGAATAAAAAGCATATGGATGTCATATCATTTGATATAAAGCTATAAATATTGCTTCACTGAATTATACCATGTACCTGGCAATAGATCCTTTTGTTTCCATGCTGTGATCATTGTCACAAATCCCTTATTCCCCTGCTTTGTGATATTTATATCCATTTTCAAGAAAAATAGTATATATGTGTGTGTATATAATGTCTACGTATGAAACAAATGTGGTAAAATGTTACAAATTGTTAAATTTTAAAACTAAAAAAAATAAACATGATGAATCTCCCCAAAAAACTCAATATAGGGTAAAGTACTTGATATTATACTTGGCACAGAGTAAATACCAATAAATAGCATCCATTCTCATTGATCCCTGACATATCACTTCAGTGGAAGGCATTAGCTCCTGATGGTAGAGGTGGTGTCGTGACATTTGAATGGTAGCCTGAGTTTGCTATCAGATTGTTCTGTGGAAGGTGATTTACAGCTAAGATTAGAAGAGAATGGATGCACTAGGAATGGGGTGCTGAGGAGAAGGATTTATTTACTCTTGGTGGCCAATGGCTTTGCAGCTGGGACCAGGATTTCTTCTTCCATTTGTTCCAAGTCCTGGGATAAAGAGGGAATTCCTAGATCTTCTATCACATATTGGCAAGAAAATCTTGCTCCTTGGGAGCTGTAATCTCTTACTTGGATTAGGCAGAGTGGACAGTGAGAGAGAGAGACAGAGAGAGAAAGGTCTTCCTTTTGCCGTTGGTTCACCCTCCAATGGCCGCCGCTGCAGCCGGCGCACCGCGCTGATCCTGGCAGGAGCCAGGAGCCAGGTGCTTTTCCTGGTCTCCCATGGGGTGCAGGGCCCAAGCACCTGGGCCATCCTCCACTGCACTCCCTGGCCATAGCAGAGAGCTGGCCTGGAAGAGGGGCAACCGGGACAGAATCCGGCGCCCCAACCGGGACTAGAACCCGGTGTGCCGGCGCCGCAAGGTGGAGGATTAGCCTATTGAGCCACGGCGCCGGCTATGGCAAGAAAATCTTGCTCCTTGGGAGCTGTAATCTCTTACTTGGATTAGCAGTGAGAGAAAACTATTTTGGAATTTTGCATCCTATGGTGAGAATTCTCTGAGTACACAGATGATTGGATTCCTAGTGCACTTCCTGTTTTTCTGCTTCCTTTCTAATGTTGAAGAAGAGATGAATGAGCTTTTTTTATTCTAGACAGAGCTGTGAAATGTGTACCCCAGGAGTAGTGGGAATGTTTTAAGGAATGATGAATTCTTGTAAAAGATGGTGAAGGGTGGATGTTGTGGTGCAGCAGGTTAAGCTCCCACTTTGGATGCCTGCATCCCACGTCAGATTAGCTGGCTTGAGTCCCTCCTATTCTGCTTCAGATCCAGCCTCCTGCTAATGTACGCCCTAGGAGACAGCAGATGATGGCTCATGAACTTGAGTCTTTACCACCCAAGTGGGATGTAGTTCTGGCTTTGGCCTGGCCCAGCTGTGGCTGTTGCAGGCATTTGGAGAATGAACCAATGTTTAGAAGATCTCTTTCTCCCTCTCTCCCTCTCTCCCTTTGCCTTTCAAATAAGGAAATAAAATCAATCTTAAAAAAAGTAAGTTGTATTTTCTGTCCCTTTTTAAATAGAGGGAAGCATTCTCAGGTAGATGAGTGTATTCAGTTATGTCTCCCCTCTTGTCCTTCTCCACAAGGCCTTGGCTCAGTGCAGCCTTGGACAGCTTGCCTTCTTCAGTCTTGTGTCTTCAGTGGTGTGTACATGAGGTGGAATCTGCAAAATTAGGAAATGAACTCATCTGTGAAGGATAGAGAACCCTGTCTGGCCAGACACAGTCACCTTCCCACATAGGTAGGAGGGGAAGCGTGAGTAAATCCTAAATGCTGGCCTAGAACAAAATTAACCTTCCGATTCAATGAGGACACCGTATGTCACCATTGGTTCATGCTACATAGGATACATATCTATATTACGCTCTCAGAGAGGGGTAGGTAATTATGTATATATTTACACTTTTTCTAATTTACACCAAAGAAGTATGCCTGACTGCCTGTTTTTTTCTTTTTAAGATTTGTTTATTTATTTGAAAAGCAGAGTTACAGAGAGGCAGAGAGAGAGGCAGAGGGAGAGAGAGAGGGAGAGAGAGAGAGAGAGAGAGACAGAGAGAGAGAGGTAGGTCTTCCATCTGCTGGTTCACTCCCTGAATGGCCAGAAAGCCAGGAGCTGGGAGCTTCTACCACGTAGACCACATGAATGTGGGGTCCCAAGCACTTGGGCCGTTTTCCACTGCTTTCCCAGGCCATAGCAGAGAGCTGGATCAGAAGATGAGCAGCCCAGATTCGAACTGGTGCCCATATGGGATGCCGTCACTGCAGGCGGCAGCTTTACCAGCTACACCACAGCGCCGGCCCCTGCTTGCTTGCTTGCTTTCTAAGGGGGAGGAGGATGGGTATTCTGTGGAGAGGAGGGAGCTGTGCTAAAATAATAAATACATTTAAGTGCTGGATGATGCTTGCTTAATTTAGGTTCTTGAAAAGACAGGAGGGAGCATAAAAAAAGTATTGAAGTCTTTCAATCTTTCAAAATATGAGAAATGTGGGACCAGTGATGTGGCATAGCAGGTAAAGCCACCCCCTGTAGCACTGGCATCCCATATGGATGCCAGTTTGAATGCTGGCTGCTCCACTTCCAATCCAGCTCCCTGCTAATGGCCTGGGAAAGCAGTGGAGAATGACCCAAGACCTTGGGCCCCTGCACCCGTGTGGGAAACCTGGAAGAGGCTCCTAGCTCTTGGCTTCAGATAGGCCCAGCTCCAGCCGTTGTGGCCATTTGGGGAGTGAACCAGCGGATGGAAGATCTCTCTCTCTCTGTCTCCCCTTCTCTCTCTCTCTCTCTGTAACTCTTTCAAATAAATAAATTAATTAATGAAAGCAATGTGCAAAGCAGTGAGGACATGCTGAGCCTGCCAAAGCAGCCTGGCCCACTTAGCCCCTGCTGCACGAGTGTGTTGTGGGCTGGTGTCGCATGGCAGAGTTCCAGAACACAGCTCTGCATCTGCTGAGCTGAGATCCGCGAGAAGGTTCTGTGCTGGGAGCACATTGGTGAGCCTCTGCCAAGCACCAGTGTCCCCACGGTCCTGTCACGGTGCCTTCCAGGGGGAGGGATCTCTGTGGGTTGTATGTCCCATGAGGCAGCGGGCAGCCCCTCCTTTGCTTCTCTGAGAAGACAAGTGCAGTCAGGGCCAAGAAGGCCGGTTTGTAGCTTTGTCCAAAGCCTCACAAGCGAAGGTGTTGGACTGACTTTTGGGATTTGTTTTGCTTTCTGTTATCAGTACACTTTCCCTGGGATGGCACATTAGGACTTAAATAGGTCTTAATGGGAATCCACGGGATTTCTGTGGGATTCATTGGTTGTTGGTGAAGCTTCTTTTGCTAACTTCTTCTTGGGGTACAGTGGCTTTAGTTAACTCTTACATTCAAAATGTAAAGTTCTAAAGTGCTATTCTTTTGTATGCATCCCAGGGTCACAGTGCTGCTCACGAGACTGCGTTTTGGAGGGAAGCAGAAATACCTAGATTGCTTGACATTGTTTATGTACTTATTGAACCTCAACAAATGTCTTACCTCATGTGCCCTTTTCTTTTTTTCCCCCAACAGATACTAATTTTGTTCTGGGGAATGCCCAGATAGTGGACTGGCCCATTGTGTACAGCAATGATGGATTTTGCAAGCTGTCTGGCTATCACAGGGCAGAAGTGATGCAAAAAAGCAGTACCTGCAGGTATTTAAGTTTGGGTTTCTTCTCATGAACTCTATCATGGGGGTGTTTTGGGAAAAAGAATTGCCTGTATGTCATTCAGTGTTTATTCAGATTATTGGTACCAATGTCATCTCTAGTTCATGTACTGTGCGGGAAAAATTGAGAAAGATGTAAAACATGGTCTCCAGAAATGACAAATCTGTGGTTAGGAAGATAGAGAAAAACCCAGAAAAAAAATCTGGGAAGCTATTTTACCTACAAAACACAACTTTAAAAGTTTATGACTTTTTGCCGGCGCCGCGGCTCAATAGGCTAATCCTCCGCCTTGTGGCACCGGCACATCGGGTTCTAGTCCCGGTTGGGGCACCGGATTCTGTCCTGGTTGTTCCTCTTCTAGTCCAGCTCTCTGCTGTGGCCCAGGAGTGCACTGGAGGATGGCCCAAGTGCTTGGGCCCTGCACCCCATGGGAAACCAGGAGAAGCACCTAGCTCCTGCCATCGGATCAGCGCAGTGTGCCGGCCGCGGCGGCCATTGGAGGGTGAACCAATGGCAAAAGGAAGACCTTTCTCTCTGTCTCTCTCTCTCACTGTCCACTCTGCCTGTTAAAAAAATAAAAAGAAAAAAAAGTTTATGACTTTTTAAGATTGAGTTATGTGTCCAAGTTAGTGGATCAAATAAAATTAAGGGAAAATGAAACTGTATAGGACTACATTAATTTTTAAAAATTTTATGAATATTTTAGAAGAATAACTACAATGCGGGAGACAAGGGCATTATTCCTAGAGCTTTTTCTCCATCGAAACTCTTTCAGAAAAAGAGAACCAATATTTTGTTGTTTCTAATTCATGCTGTTATGTCTCCCTCTCTTTGATCTCTTAGTAAATTGTGCTAACAGTGTGGCCTGTGTATTGGACTGGGTTACTAACCAAGCAGTGCCCTTGGGCCTTGGGATTAGAAGCTCACCAGTCAAAATGATCCATTTCAGTTCACAATTGATCATACTGATAGGTCTAAGAGTCAAAGGGATCACATAAACAAGACTAGTGTCTGCTAATACTAACTGATAGAATAAAAAAGGGAGAGAATGATCCAACATGGGAAGTGGGATACACAGCAGACTCATAGAATGGCAGATGCCCTAAACAGCACTCTGGCCTCAGAATCAGCCCTTAAGGCATTTGGATCTGGCTGAAGAGCCCATGAGAGTATTTTAGGCATGGAAAGCCAAGACACTCTGGCAAACAAACAAACAACAACAACTTAAATGAAAGATCTCTGCAAGTGAGATCCCAGTAGAAAGAACGGGCCATCAAAGAAGGAGGTACCTTTCTCTGAAGGGAGGAGTGAACCTCCACTTTGACTATGACCTTGTCTAAATAAGATTGAAGTCAGCGAACTCAAAAGGCTTCCATAGCCTTGGCAACTCATGACAAGAGCCTAGGAGGATTACTGACGCCATAAACAAGTATCAATTTGTTAAGTCAACAACAGGAGTCACTGTGTACTTACTCCTCATGTAGGATCTCTGTCCTTAATGTGTTCTTCAATGTGAATTAATGCTATAACTAGTACTCAAACAGTATTTTACACTTTATGTTCTGTGTGGGTGCAAACTGTTGAAATCTTTACTTAATATATACTAAGTGATCTTCTGTATATAAAGAGAATTGAAAATGAATCTTGATGTGAATGGAATGGGAGAGGGAGCGGGAGATGGGAGGGTTGTGGGCGGGAGGGAAGTTATGGGGGGGAAAAGCCATTGTAATCCATAAGCTGTACTTTGGAAATTTATATTTGCTAAATAGAAGTTAAAAAAAAAAAGAAAATTAACTCTGAAAGAGAAAAAGGAGAAATCCTTGAGATAGGGCTAGGTTAGTCGTTAGTCTTAATTAACTTTTCATTTTAAAGATGATTCAACCAGCTCAGTTTTCTGTTTTCCTGGCTTATTTGAGGTAAAGAGTATAATCCAAAGCAGAGAGCTCCGTGAGAAACACACAGAGACAAGCACTAGTAATTACATCTCCTAGATGGCTGGGAAGGTGATAAGGTAACAGTGGAACAGAGTTCACAGTCAACAGTCAGGGCACTTGTATGGAGTGCTGGGATTTGGAAGCCAAGATCAAGTGCGACTTGGGGGTTCAGTTCTAGATCAGGAATTGCACCTGGTCACCTCTGTAGGCCTTTGTAGCTCTGAAATTATATGACAGTGTGATTCAAGTCTTTGGGAAACAGTTAGACCGTATTCAGTACACTCAGTTTGAGAAGATGGGAGGGGTGTTGGTATGGACCCCATGCTGCTGTTCCTGCACTATCCAGCTCGAGGAGTGACCCTTGCTGTCCGAAGGGCTGCAGTGGGCTGGGGAGGTGCTCGCTGGGCCAGTGGGCAGTCTTTGTCTGAGAGCTGGTCTGTGCAGCCACCCTGAGCGATGGCTTTTCTTTTCTCGCATTTTGTTAGTGTCCTGGCCATGGTTCATTCTACCTGGTGAAGGGTGTATCCTGTTACCAGGGACACAAACGTTGGTCTTTAGACTGATTCACAGGTGGTGTCCCAGGAACCCAGACAGTCCTAGATGGTTTCCTGCCTCTGCTGAGGACCAGTGTTCAGAGGTGGATCTTCTATTTTCTTGGATTGGCTCCCATTCTTTTTTTTTTTTTTTCAACTTTTATTTAATGAATATAAATTTCCAAAGTACGGGTTATGGATTACAATGGCTTCCCCCCCATAACGTCCCTCCCACCCACATCCCTCCCCTTTCCCACTCCCTCTCCCCTTCCATTCACATGAGGATTCATTTTCGATTCTCTTTATATACAGAAGATCAGTTTAGCATACATTAAGTAAAGATTTCAACAGTTTGCTCCCACACAAACATAAAGTGAAAAATAATAGATGATTTTTTAAATGATGATGAAATCAGATCAGACCTATTGTCATGTTTAATCCCAGTGAGAGTCAAGTTGGGAATTGATAATTTCTTCTTCTTTTTTTTTTACAGAAGATCAGTTTAGTATACATTAAGTAAAGATTTCAACAGTTTGCACCCCCATAGAAACACAAAATGAAATATATTGTTTGAGTACTCGTTATAGCATTAAGTCTCAATGTACAGCACATTAAGGACAGAGATCCTACATGAGGAGTAAGTGCACAGTGACTCCTTTTGTTGACTTTACAAATTGACACTCCTGTTTATGGCATCAGTAATCTCCCTATGCACCAGTCATGAGTTTCCAAGGCTATGGAAGCCCCTTGAGTTCTCCGACTCTTATCTTGTTTAGACAAGTATATAGTCAAAGTGGAGGTTCTCTCCTTCCTTCAGAGAAAGGTACCTCCTTCTTTGAAGACCAGTTCTTTCCACTGGGATCTCACTCACAGAGATCTTTCATTTAGGTTGGTGTTGTTTTTTTTTTTTTTTTTTTTTTTTGCCAGAGTGTCTTGGCTTCCCATGCCTGAAATACTCTCATGGGCTTTTCAGCCAGATCAGAATGCCTTTAGGGCTGATTCTGAGGCCAGAGTGCTGTTTAGGACATCCGCCATTCTATGAGTATCTCGCTTCCCAAGTTGGATCACTCTCCCCTTTATTTATTCTATCGGTTAGTATTAGCAGGTACTAGACTTGTTTATGTGCTTCCTTTGAGGCTCCCATTCTTTTTAAGCAGTGCTTATAGCTCGCTTTAGTCAACTTTTCTCCAAACTTGAACAGCAAGGAGGTGTATTCCTAAGAAGGTGTGGGATTTTATGATCTCAATTTTTTTAACCTAAGGCTATTATTTTAGGCAAGAGTAGTAGGGGACAGGAAAGAGTAACCCAGACAGTAGCTGAATCTTGTTTTTTTTTTCCTTAGTTATGTCTTAATGTTTACTTTTCTTATTGAGTGGGTACATTTTTGTGAAATTTTTTGGCTTGTATTTGGATTTAGAAGAGGAAAACTTTGTGGTCCAAAATTACTTGGCCATCTTTATCAGAATGTCTCTTACAGTTGTATTTAGAAAATGAGATCTGATCCAGTCTCCTTTGCTTAAAACCCTCCTGCTTCCCTCACTGCTTTTGGGATAAGGTTCTTATTGCTTCCCACGGTTTATAACACCAGGTCTCTTCTGTGATCTGTCCTCTGCTGGCGTCTCTAAATTATCTATTCCTGATTTCCCTCCTGTGTGCAGTCCAGTCCTGGTGAGCGGACCCTCATTCAGGTCCTGGAATTAACCTGACTCCCACCCCTGTGCCTTTGCACATGCTTACCTTTTGCTTGGATGCTCTCATCCCTCTGTCTCTGCTACTCTCCCTCTGCTCTTTAGATCTCATTGATCTTCCTTCTGAGAATGACCAGCCAGAGGGGGATCTGAGATCCCCTCCATGGGCTGCCGTGCTAACATTCATCATGCCGTCTTCTGATCCACTGTTTTCTAGCATAAATCTCTCATTAGACGTAGTTCCTTTTGGTGGGAGGCAATGATAGGACTTAGTCACAGTGGAATTAGGAAATCCTTTTAGATTCAGTGGATAGTTTCACTTTGCATGCATGCATGCCATGATGCCTAGCATAGAGCTGGGTGTAGGACACATGTTTAACACGTGCTTGTAGAATAATTAGTCCCTGTGGACCTAACACTTGGCCTCTTTGGTTGATTTCAGTTTTATGTATGGGGAGCTGACTGACAAAGACACCATTGAAAAGGTGCGGCAAACCTTCGAGAACTATGAGATGAATTCCTTTGAAATCCTGATGTACAAGAAGAACAGTGAGTATCTGGACCATTCTGTACCATACTTATCTGTGTTGGGAATGGTCAAATATCTGCTCCGCCTCTGTTGCTGTCTCAGTTTTGCTTCTCTCCCATCCACTAAATGGATGTACTGATGTCACTGTGTATGTTGGCCTCAATGATGAGGATTCCTCAGTTACACTGCTCCTGTTAGGACCATCGGAGGAGGTTCTTGTCACTAACCACTTAGGACTTTTGCGTGTGTTTTTGCTGCCCAGAGTTACTGCTTCTCTTGTTGGTTGACTTAATGACAAGTTGCTGGCTGCAGGCATTGTGACTTTAAGCCTTCTTAAAGTGGGGAGTGGTGTCGGCACACCGGGTTCTAGTCCCAATCGGGACGCCGGATTCTGTCCCGGTTGCCCCTCTTCCAGGACAGCTCTCTGCTGTGGTCCGGGAAGGCAGTGGAGGATGGCCCAAGTGCTTGGGCCCTGCACCCACATGGGAGACCAGGAGAAGCACCTGGCTCTCCTGGCTTCGGATCAGCGCGGTGCACCGGCCACGGCAGCCATTGGAGGGTGAACCAACGATAAAGAAAGAACTATCTCACGTATGTCTCTGCTGATCGCATTGGATTAGTGTATTATTTTTTTTTTTTGACAGGCAGAGTGGACAGTGAGAAAGGTCTTCCTTTTGCTGTTGGTTCACCCTCCAATGGCTGCCTTGGCCGGCGCACCGCGCTGATCTGAAGGCAGGAGCCAGGTGCTTATCCTGGTCTCCCATGGGGTGCAGGGCCCAAGCACTTGGGCCATCCTCCACTGCACTCCCGGGCCACAGCAGAGAGCTGGCCTGGAAGAGGGGCAACCGGGACAGAATCTGGTGCCCCAACCAGGACTAGAACCCGGTGTGCTGGCACCGCAAGGTGGAGGATTAGCCTAGTGAGCCAAGGCACCAGCAATCACTGTCCACTCTGCCTGTAAAAAAAAAAAAAAAAAAAAAAAAAAAATGGGGAGTGCAGAGGGGAGGGACAGAAGCTCTGTCCAGTTCATGTTTGTATTTCTCTTCCACAGCACCAGTGCACCGCCAGTCGGGGCCCAATTACGAGTTTCTGAATCAAATTTTGTCCTCCTGGTGCCCCCAGGAGGTAGTATTGACAGTACTGCATTGTTAATTTGTATGTGTTTTGGCACAATTACTTTCACAGAGTATGTTCATGAGGTTTTGAGGTCAATAGTCATAACAAGGTTCAAGCTGGCTTTTCTCCTAGGTTTCCTGTTCATCTGGAGATTAGCTGTAGTAGAGGTTCAGAAAGCAGGCCATTGGAACTTGCAAGGCTGCAGAGGTGTTGACTGGTGCTGGGTTTGTTTTAAAGACGTTTATGTTCTTGGTCAAGAATCCTGCTCTTTTGTTGTAGGACTGATGGGTGATTATTGGTTCAACAGAATATTTCCAGAGTGGCCCAGGGAGTGTATGGAGATAAGTGTTGACTTCGGTGGTGTTCAGGTGTGAGTGATGTGTTTTACTCTGGACAGCAAAGCACAGATGTTGATTTCATCTGGAAGGAACTGGGATTTGTTGGTTTTGTTTTTTGTTTTTTGTTTTTTTTCAGACGAGAGTGTTGGAGCAGGCAGCTGAGAGGACGGCTGGCTTGGCTGGTCTTAGGGATGAGCGCTGGCCATCAGCAAGTGTAAGGGGTTGTGCCTGCAGCTTTCACACTGGAGCTGCTGCCTTGCTCCTGCTCAGTCCCTCAGCTGGGAGGTGGAGATCCTGGCCCACTGTTATCTGTCGTAGGAATGAGATGAAGACTGAAGCGCTCCAGTTCTACTCTGGGGACGTAATTCCAAGCAACAGCTCTTACCGGGAGCACAGTAGCATTGACCTTCTCCTGGGACAGACATGGCCTGAGCTAGCAGAGTCAGTTAGACTCTCACACTGGCAGCTGTGTGCCCCGAGCAGTCTGGCTTTCCTCTGTGGAACACTTGTAGACTAGGTGTATCACATAAACATTGCCTTGTGTTTATATTTGGCTTCAGAGTTTTTAAGCTTCATTAGGCTGTGTATGTAACTTGCCCACATTCAACTGTGTATGTTTGACATGAGAGAGAGAGAGAGAGAGAGAGAGACATAACTTGAATTGGGTTAGCGATTTCACGTGCTGTTCCCTTCAGAGAGCGCCTACCCCAACGTGAGTGTGAGACGGGGGAGTAGAAAGTGCTGCCCCAGCTGTTCCTAGGCCCCAGAATCCTGCGAGGAGTCAGCCTGGCCACAGCTGAGGGTGGCCCGCTCCGGGCAAGAGGCAGCCGAAATGGACACATGCCCACGGGGCATGAATCTGGGGAGGGACCTCGTCCGTGGTTCCCAGACAGGCTCGCCCCGCCCAGACAGGGCACAGGAAGTGGAGCCCAGCACTTCCGGTCAGGAACTCATTCTCTGGCCTGAGGTAAAACAGGCCTGTGTCTTGTTTAGAACCGGACGTAGAAGTGCTCTAGGAATGCTTGTCAAGTGGAGGAACTCGTGAGTGAGAGAAAAAGCGATGTGATTCGAATCAAAGGCTTCAGAGCTTGGGAGCGAGCCGAGTGTGGCTCCGCATGGCCTCGCGCCCCTGGAGAGGCGCCCTCCTGACCCGCCCGGGCTGAGCAGAGGGCGAGCCCGTGCCTCTCCTCACCTCTGCACAGGCAGAGTTTGCGTCCGTGTTCAGGCCGCAGCGTTCTGTGAAAAGCCTTGTAGAGCACTGGAGTCCCCGAGGGAAAGTCTCCCTTGTGTTGGGATTTTAAAAGGTGAAAGGTCATCATCTAAAAGAATGTTTATTTCGTTCTCTGATTTGTGCATGAATGCGTTTTTGTCATGGAGAATATATGAAGGAAATAGGAAAAACAAAAATAAAGAAATGACTCTCTGGCCAGTAGGCCACCCTGTGGGAGGTCTGCCTCAGTTTCCCAGTCAGAGAAGACAAGGAAAGGCATTTGACAGCAGTTCTGCTGAGCCAGCAAGGAGGAGCTGCTGGCCAGGTCTCACCGATTACCTACTACTGTAGGCTCAGCCCTGGGCCGGACCAGCCGGCTACAGAGATTCCCATGTAGGAAGGGGACTCTGCCTTTGAGGAGATCACACTGTCGTGGAGACAGATTTGGTAGGTAAAGCACTCATATCTTGCTCATTTCCCTAATGGATTTTTAAAAATTTATTCAGTGGGTAGGAGCTGCTCATATAAGGGGTCTTCAAGAATTTCATGCAAAATGCATATTATAAAAAACTATGCATGCATTTCAAAATGCTTTTGCACCAAAATAAACTTATCTTTTGATTCATTTTTCTATAAAGATTCTGAAGTCCCCTCATATATAATGGATATTGATCCTAAAACACATATCTATTGAGAAATAGTTCCCCTATTTAAAATTATTTTTGTTTTAACTTTTTTTAATTGGAGATTTTTCCATATTGAAGTGAACAGTTTTTTTTGTCATTATTTTTCTTGACGGTTCCAAGTTTTACATAATACTTAAGAACCTCTTCTCCTTACCTAGATAATAAAAACACTCTTCCATTATTCCTTCTTGTGATTTAATAGTTGTATTAAAATATGTTGTTCATTAAATCATTTGGAAGTTACTTTTATATATTACTGGAAGTAGCAACCTAACCTAATTTATTTTCCATATTGCCAATTCACTTGTTTCAGACTATTTATTAGGTAATCCAGCCCCTCCTTTCTGATTTGAAATACCCTTTTAGTTATATACCAGATTTGCATACGTTGGGATTCCTTGGCCAGGAATCCTATTATAAGTTACAAAGATTTATGGGAGATTTGTTGAGGCAGTTGCTTGCTTGGGTTCCTATATTTACAATGCAAATAATATATCATAGTAGCTCTTCTGCTCATAGGGTTGTTAGAAGAAGTAAACCACTGTATGTCAGGGTCTGGACCCGTAGTAAGCATTCAATAGATGATATTTCCATGGTGGTTTGTTTTGGGCCAGTGCCAGTGACTCTTAATTACTGTAGTAGGTAGCCCCTGCTATTTTTTTCCCAAAAAGTTTAAATATTTCTTGGCCTTGCTTACCCCTTTGTTTTTCTATTTGAATTGAATTTTAGTTCAAAGCTCTGAGAAACATATGCAAAGGAACAATTGAGATTCTGATTGAAATTGCAGTGGATTTATTTATTAAACAGGGAGGTCTGACATCTTATAAAACTGAATCTTCTTTCTCATCGACAAACCGTGTAAGGCTCTCCATTCTGTAGTTTACTTCCTATGCTCTCCAGTATACTTTGAGTAACACTGAGGCTTAGGATTGATTCTCCAGATTCTTCCTGATTTGGCCCTCGTCCCTTAGAACAGGTGGCAATGGCTTTAGAGTTGTACCCGACACCTTGTGACAGATGCTCATGTCATGCGAGCAGCTTTGTTAAGTGAGGCTGAACATTTCAGTCTTAGAGTGGAAGAATTTCAAAGGAAGGAAGAAAGACAAGTCAAAGTTTTGTATTAAACCCTACATATCAGATATGTGTGTATATTTACTTGGTCTGAAGCAGGTCTATATTTTTCATTTTACAAATTAGGACACAGATGTAGAGAGAAGTTCAACTGATGCAGCCAAAGCTCACAATAAATGAAGAGATAGGGCTGGAATCCAAGGCTCCTGATGCCAATCTAATGGCCAGTAGCCACTACTCCCTGATTGTGTCTCATTCTTCCTGCACTTATCATTTGTCTCAATCACGTTGGCCCCAGACCAATCAGTCTGTGTCTTGGCCTAGCCTCCCAAGGCTACTCTTTGAACCTATCAGACTGGCTCAGCGCTATGTAACTTTTCCCAAGGGCCAATCACAGCGGCTTGGTTAATTCTGTTGCTGGTGAACATGGCCTGGACACCCAGAGGCCACGTTCAGAGAGTGCCTGGGAGGACGCCCAGGAAAGGAGGAAGATTGATGAGACCACAAATTCTCTCATATACCTGAGGCTTTCTCTTTTGTTATCTGGCTGCCAAGGTTGAGGAATTCCAATGCCAGGTTAGGTTGTCAGGTTCATCACTGTGTGACTGAGTGACATAAGGGATGAGCATCAGAGTGGCCAGGAAGAGGCGTCTGGTTTGGAACTGCCCTCGCACTGGGCACTTGCAGCCAGGAATGAGCTCCTGTCCCAGCAGCAGCAGCCTCTGCCACCAGTGGGCTTGTCAGGTGCATTGTTCCTGGTGTGTTGTAGGTGGACCTCTCTACTAGGGGGTTTATCATTGACCCTTTGGCTTTTTCTCTGAAACAGGACATTGAATGCTTGCCCTTTTCAGTTTTTCCACAGTAGACCCTTGGGTGAGAAGGTACAATTTTAACCTCCTCTTCCCGATTTTGTGTGTGTGTGTGTGTGTGTGTGTGTTTGCAAATGTTTGTGCAGTTACTGCCTCTTTAGTATTTCCAGCAGCTGGTATACTGTAGCTGAACCTGAGCTTGGGAGAGACCCCTGGAGGCCACATGCCCTACCCTTTGCCTGAGTAGGAAAGACAATGTCTGAATGGAGCCAGAGGTTCTTGAATTTCCTTGAAGCTCCCAGAGGGGTAGATGGGAAAGTGATGGGTGGAGCTCTAGGTTATAGATAGTGTACAGTCACTTAAAACAACTACTTCAGATATTGATATTTTAAGTAATATCTCATTAGATAAAACTGCTTTGCTCTGCAAGGGATAAGGTTGAAATCACTGGTTTACACCACCTAGGATGGACTCATGTTCTCTTCTGAAGAATTCAGGAAATGAAAATGCAAGTCCATTCTACTCTCCTAGATTGTTTGGGTAGTGGTCATTTGGGATGGAGAAATTTCTGAGTAACTATGAAGATGCAGGAAGTAGAGTTTATTTCTTTGAAACTCAGCAGGTGTTCCTAGAGCACCCACCTTACCAAGGTGGCCCAGCTCTACAATAGCACCCCCTAGAGTTGAGCAGTGCAATGACCTCATGTGATCCTGTGTGTTAAGACTAAATTCCATTGGAATACAGATACTGGGTGGGAAGGCAGAGAAAGTAGATCAGGTCTCTTGTCATTGGGGTAGGTTATGATCTATTTATAGAAACAGTTTTCAGTTGTTAAGGTTTGGAGGAGGGGCAATACTTTCCTTCCCTGTCTGTGATCACAACCAGTTTGAGGGACATTTAGGACTCAGGCCAATAGAGGTTACGATGTCACTTGTATGAGTCAAAAAGCTGGTCCTGGAGAATGTAGTCTATATCTATTGGCAAGTAAGTTTCTAACAGTGGATCACAGAACTGGGAAGATTTAACCCCTGCCACAGGTAGCATTGGAGGGCTCTCCCTCTATCAGCCTTGCCCCTCCCCCTGCCTTTGTCTTTCTTCTTCCTTAACATTTACAGAATGATGGAACAGAGCAGAGGAGGGGCCACATATCTAATTCTTATCTCCCAAATTAGCAACCAAGGGAAAAGACCCAGAGTGTGACACCGAAAGATGTCCTTCCACAGGGGAACACGAGATTGGGGCAAAGGTGGGTCTGTCTCTCAGTGAGTCCCCATGATCAACTTGAGATGAACTCTAGGCAACACACACTGACTTTAGGAAGATTTGGTAGAATATGCCCACTTCAGTACTGACAGGGAATGGTGAGAGTAGCATGTGTCCAAGCAGGGCACATTTCTGGAGGGAGGCGATGGGCTTGGAGGAGAGAAGCACACAGGGGACCTGAGAGGCCAGATGAGTTTGAACTGTGGGAAAAGGGAGAAGGCCTCTCAATAAGACAGATGTCGTGGGCTCAGAGACATAGGTCAGCACTGTCAACCTCAGTGGGCGAAAGTGGGATCTGAAGAGGAGATGGCACGGTCCCAACGGGAACATGCCCCCAGGCCGCAGGCCAGCTGGTGCAGTGCAGGGTGGCCTGGCAGGCTGCAGCTATGAGAGCATGATTCTGGGGTGTACAGCAAGATGAGGCTCCTGTATGATGGGCTCCTCTCAGCTGATTCATTACCAGCTTGATGAATTGGGAGTGGTTTCTGGTTTACCATCTAAGAAAAATGGCATGAAGTTTGCTTTACAACAAAAAGGAAAGGGGTTTTGGGTTCGTTTGCGTTTTGTCTTAGGAGCTAGGCTACAACAGAGAGCTGGTGGGATGTGGGATGAATTGCTATGATGCTTTTTCTTTTGAGTTTTCCGTGGCTTAGTTGAAAGTAGCACAGATTCTGAGGTAGGAACTGAAAAGAATAGTCACACAGACTTTCCAGAAAAGATAGTTAATCCAAAGGTCATTTTCTTCTTGATTTTGAAATGCTACAGTGATTTTTGTGTGATTGATTTTTTCTTTCAAAATATTTCTTTCTTAAAATGTATTATAATCTGTCACTCCGAGAGTTCCCAGAAACTGGTAGTTAAAAATTATGCAAAGACAAATGGAAAGAAGATTAAAATTAATTATGGATGAATACATGGATAGCCACGATTTAAGGAGAATAAATTTCCATTTGATCTACTTGTTGTCTGTTTTTACATTTAGGATTATTCATACTTACCTGTCAGTGTTGTAGCCAAATCTGTAAGCTGGTTATTGTCAAGTTAGACTGGCTCATTGTCCTGTTAATCAGAGATCTCAGTCTACCTGTGTTGTGCGGTATGAAGTTGACAAGATTACAAGCAGAGGCCCAAGTAACCTCTTTGGGGTCTATTTTCATCTCCAAGGTTCTATGAGTTGCCCACATTGTATTGCATAACAGGGGTTGTTAAATACTGAGCACAGGACCCAGTACATAGGAAACTAATACTTAGCAACATGGGGAAATGATTAGTGTATTTTGATTTGAAAATGGTTTATAGAGTAGTATTATTCTAGTTATGTAAAATTCAACAAATAGTTATTAGTGCTTCTTATATTCTACATGCTCTTCTAGGAACTGGGATGCAAGAACTAGGTAGCAAAGAGCACAGCTCTGGGTGGTGTCTCGTTTCATTTTGTAACACAGAACAGATTGGTGCTTCTTCTGTGGTGTCCCCTGTGGATGGAAAATGTTTCTTTATTTTCCCTAATTATTTCCTCGGAAGCCAGAGCTGTACAGATACTTGGCCATGGATGCCAGAGTGGGGCCCTCTTTGAGAAGACAGTCAGAGGAGCCCTGCCCACCTCCTCCCGTGCATGAAGGCAGTGCTTAGGAAGAGGTGGCTTACGTCCAGCCTCAGCTCAGACACAAGGATTGCAGCGTATTCCTTGTGCTTCCTAAGGTACCAGCGTGGTCACATCCCAGCTCCTTTCCCAAGGAGCCCTTGCCACGGGTATCATGGTTGTCATCTTTTCCTTCATGGGTATCTTGTCATTTGCCATTGTGTTTGGCTCTTTTATATTTTCATTGTAGGGAAAAGGACTTAGAAAGATTGCTTCTGGCCCATGCTTGATTGAGCATCTGATCCAAGTTGATAGAATCACAAACTGGATTCAGACACTCAGGGCCCTGTAGCAATGGATGGAGTTTGAAATTTGAGTTTGCATCATCTGCTGGCCTGGGTTGGCTGTGCCCACTTTGGCCCTGTATTCTTTACTGTCCACTCTGTGGGCTAAGGTAAGTCTTTAGATCTCCCTGCCTAAGTTTCTTCTTAAATCAAATGGGATTTTCAACCTATTTCCTAATTGTTTTTCAAGGGCTAAGAGATCTGCACTTATAAAATTATTTGAACAGAAGAAAATTCCTACTGAGTAGTCACTGTGAAAGTTTTTATTCCAGCAAGAAAAGAAATTAATGTTAGAATACCTTGGCGCCTGAAGGAATGAGACTATTTAAAAAATGAATTAATATTTGTACCTATTCATTCACAAGTCTTTGCATCTGTAGCCCCTCAAATGAGAATGCAAATTACTGACCGACCTTTTGATATTCTTTTCAGGGACACCTGTGTGGTTCTTTGTGAAAATTGCTCCAATTCGAAACGAACAGGATAAAGTGGTTTTATTTCTTTGCACTTTCAGTGACATAACAGCTTTCAAACAGCCGATTGAGGATGATTCATGCAAAGGTTTGTAATTCTGATTTGCACACACACACTTCTGTCTTTTTTGCCTTTCATGTGACTCTTGCTACAGAGAATTTGAGGTTGCCAAGGCAATCTCTGTGCAGAGATCCACATTAAAACTTTGATTTGTATTGGGTAAAGTACTGTGTCATTCTGCAATGTCTTGGGGGAGGAGAAGGGGCGAACAATAATTAAAAAAAAAAAAACCCTTTGTTTAGGAAAGCTCTTGAATCAATTTTATCCCTTTTTAAATGAACACTTTCCAAAACAATTAGCCAAAGAAGGTAGTCGGCCAACTCTGGTATCATGAGGATCTTTCCAGGTTTTGCAATGATAAATCTCAGCCCTGCAGAGGGGGTGATCCACGGCCACATTCATCTGATTTACAGACTCAGACTTGACTGACTTCTGGAGTTTGTTAAAACAGACGTTGGTACCTCTCTGCCTCTCTGGTTGAGTTAAGTCTGGGGATGGTTAATTCATCTGGGACACGGCGTTAGTGAGGCCAAGGCCTTAGGTAACATTTCCATGAGGCTCACTGATCAGCTTTGTGACCACAGATTGATCACTTACCTTGACCCATCACACGCATGAGTTGTTTGAATAACATTGGGGACCTTGGAAAGGACATGCCTTAGGAATCTAAAACAACTGCAGTCCATCAGGCTGTGCACGGGGTGGCCTGCTGTCCCAGAGGTTTGGGATTAGGGGATGGCTTAGCACTTCCTGTAGCTTGCACCCAGGAGAACCAGGAGGCCAGGAGCTGTTTCCTGTTGCAGTAGCACCTGGTTCCGTGGTTGGCTTTCCAGCTCTCCCTGAGAACTCTGCTCCTTGTGGTTTCCTGAGAGGCAGCAGAGAGGTGAAGTGGAGTCCAGGGGACAGTCAAACCGAGGCCTGTGATTCTTCATGTGATCGCATTTTGCCTGTTAAGTGGGTATTACAGGAGGAAAGCATTGTGTGGAGGCCCTCCCAGGCTGTCTCTCCTCGGAGGGATTTCAAACCCTGGCTCATTTAGACGTTCCCGTTTATGGCGATCAGAGCACAGTGCTCCTGTGTATCAATGCACTGTGCTGCTTCCAAGTGTCCGATAGCTCTGTAAACCCATTTCAGCCTGCTTTCTGGTTTCAGGAGTGCAGCAGATGCAGCGTCTTGCAGCAGTGTCTTAGTCTCCTGAAGTGTCCCTTTTCCTGCAGATTTATGGTTGCCCAGTTTCTGGTTTCTGAGTTGAAGATTTCCCAGTGCAGTGGTAGCTCTTGATGACAGACACATCCATGATGAAGTGCCAGCTTGTCACCATCTAGAAGAGGTGTTTGCTTTTTAACCTAATAAACTCATCAGTAGTAATTTAAAGGCAATCAAATGGTTTGAGACTTATTTTTTCAAGTTTTCCCTGAAAAATATAAAATATGTGATTTGGTTGAGCCATAGTGTTTGCTTTTTATCATCGTTGGGACACTTTTGGGTGAGATGTAGGAATTATTCCGTAGGAAAGGCATACCTTGCAGGGAATGCTCTGTGTTTGGATCTCATGAAACCTGAAATAGATGAGTCAGCATGAGGTTGTGAGACTCACTTAGGTTTGTTTTCCAGGGATAATAGATTGCTCTTCATTTTACCTGCCTACTGATGCCTTTCATGGCTGAGAAGACTTTCGGTGCAACACACAGACACACAGACATGCACACTCATCCTAGTCTCTGTTAGCCAAGGTCTTAATGTGAATTAACATGAGCAACATGTGGCTTATAAAAATTCAAAGCGTGCGCGCGCACACACACACGCACACAGTTCAACCTTCGATATAGAAACCTTGCTAGTGGATCACGCTCACTGTCTCCTCAAAGATGTGGAACTATTGTCCATCTAAGTGCCATGACAGACAGGTCAGACCTTCTCATTTGTCACGTTGCTGTGCTCCTGGCCCACTCTGATTTGGTGGTCTGCTTAGGACAAAGTCAGATTTTATGTGTGTTTATGAGGGAAGAGTGATGATTTGCCAGGCCTTGTTAGTTTTTTTTTTTTTTAAAGAATCATTTTGAAAATGTATTTGAAAGACAGAGTTACAGAGAGAAGTAGAGCCAGAGAGAGAGAGAGAGAGAGAGGTCTTCCATTCTGCTGGTTCATTCCCCAAATGACTGCAACAGCCAGAGCTGAGCTGATCTGAAGCCAGGAGCCAGGAGCTTCTTCTTGGTCTCCCACGCAGGTGCAGGGGCCCAAGGACTTGGGCCATCTTATACTGCTTTCCTAGGTCATAGCAGAGAGCTGGAGCAGAAGAGCAGCTGGGACTAGAACCGGTGCCCATATGGGATGCCAGTGCTGCAGGCTGGGGCTTTAACCCACTGCGCCACAGTGCTAGCCCCAGGCCTTGTTAGTTTTAAGCCCATGAACTTCCATTCTGGCTGCCAGGTTCGAATCTAGATGGAAAGTACATTGCTCTGTGACTGGAGGGACCCTCTCAGTTCTCATCATCTCTTTATGAGCGATCCAGGACCCTGACTTGCTCATCTTCATTTCGTTTTCTGCCTTTTGATAGATTTCCTTATTGTCTGGCAAACAGAGCCCAGTTAGTATGAAGCAGGGAATGCAAGCCATGCTGGGTTTGCTGTCTGCAAACAGCTGTGTGTGTGTGTGTGTGTGTGTGTGTGGTGTTTTAAAAGCTGAGTGAGTGGGAATTCTTGGCTAAATCAGAATCCCTAAAATGAGAATCTGTGATACTTTAGGGGATTTCATTTGTTCCTTATTTCTTGCTCTCTTGGTTATTATGGATAATTGGGAGAGAAGTAGGCTGCAAGATCTTTTTCTCTGTCCCATTCACCTTTCTAAGCCAGAAGCCTTGAGTGAGTGGAAAGGATTTGGGGGCCAGCACTGTGGCTTAGTGAGTTAAGGCTTTGCCTACAGTGCCGGCATCCCGTATGGGTGCCAGTTCTATTCCCGGCTGCTCCTATTCCGTGCTGCTCCTCTTCTGATCTAGGCTGATCCAGCTCTCCGCTGTGGCCTGGGGAAGCAGCAGAAGATGGCCCAAGTCCCTGGGCTCCTGCACTGGCATGGGAGACCTGGAAGAAGCTCCTGGCTCCTGGCTTTGGATTGGCCCAGTTCCAGCCATTGTGGCCATTTGGGGAGAGAACCAGTGGATGAAGACCTCTCTCTCTGTCTCTCCCTCTCTGTTTGTGGCTCTACCTCTCAAATACACAAATCCAGTCTTAAAAAAGAGTTTGAATGTGAGGCTCAGAGTCTTCCCTGTACCTTGCTCACCAGGGGATGAGTCACTCCTCTTTTTTTTTCTTACTCCTCCAGGTAACCTCATATTAAGGGAGCAAATTCATTTCCGATGATCCATGTGTTTCCATCTAAATTCAGAGTTAAACTTGAGCCAAATGCAGCAGCAAAAGGGATGTAACACTCCAGAGGAGATTGTTGAGGACCAGAGATTTAGAATATTCCAGTCTGAGGGTGCTGGTGAGCTGTTGTAAGCACCCATCCCTCTCTATGTGGCTTCCTGTGGGGTGTTTAGGAGGTGCTCTTGGGAGACACAGAGCAATGGATATAAACAGCCCCCCAGTAGTCACGTGTTCTCTCCCTGCCCTTGGGGTGAGGGAAGGCGGATGAGTCAGTGCTGGCTGCTTGGAGCCGCCATCTATCTGCACAGATAGGGGAAGGTCCATGGGAGGGTCACTTGAAGACACGCAGGCAGTGGCTACACCGACTGCCCACCTGGTGCCATGTGGCCACTGTCCTTGGCTGGGCTTTGGGTTACGGCATCAGGTCCTCTAAGAGAATCCGTGACTCTGCATCTCGGGGTGAGGTGGCTGCTGTCTTTTTAGACTTACCTTCAGAGGAGCAGGCACTCGAACTCAGAGCCATCTCTTCTGCCTCAGGGGGAACTTGGAGCTGTGGGCTCACGCATCCTAGTGGGTGGCTGCCCCCAGTGGCAGCCTAGCAGCAGGGGGAGCAGTCTTTCTTCCTGGGGAGGGGAGAAGGGGCCCGGCGAATGCCCTTAGCTGATGGCTGACTGAGCACTGTGCTCTCTTCCTCCCGTGCTTTTCCCCACTCCTCCCTTTGCCCTGCTTCCCACTGCTCCTCATTCTTCCTGATCACGTGGTGCTTGCCATCTTCCCATGGCATCCACAGCCCGCCTGTGCCTCACTTAGTGGTGGCCTGTGTGACAAAATTGGGAAGAATCCTGGGCCAGCACTGAACTTTCACACGGGACATAGTTGAAGGAGTAGGTAGAGAAATGCCTGGTGAAAGAGGAAAGTACAGAAATCTCTTCTCAAACTTAACAGAGTTTGAGAAAAGAATATTTGTTCTTCATTTACTTATTTTTTTTATATAAAGCGTACACACTTATTGGGTGTCTTTTGGGTGTCTGGCCCTATATGAAGTGCTGTAGGTAAGGAAATGTCTGAGATAGAACCTTAGTTTATGACAGTCTCCCAAGTAGAAACTAACACATTGAGGTGGACAGACAGGTAAGGACCTAAGAAGAGTGAAGCAGGATTTGGGATTGAAGAGAAGTCTGCTGGGGGTAGGTGGAGGTACAATGGGGGGCGTGGGTGGGAGAAAGGCCAGTGTCTGGGAGAGGCTTCAGACTTTTTGATTTAGCATCTGAGTTCTCACTGTCTGAGTGTTTCCCCTTCTGGTTCCTGACAACCTCTTTAGCATAATTTCCGGCTACTCTCTGCCTCCCCCTGCCCCTTCCAAGGCATGCTTTAATCATCCAGCCATCTAGAACCTCTGCCTTGTAGACGCTGGTCTTTCTGTGCGGGAAGTCCGTTCTTTCCTTCTAAGCCCACCTAACTCCTACTCCTCTTTCATGATTCTGCAGTGATACCCAACACTGTGCCTGGTACGTAACCTGGTAGCTATGTGTATAGAATCCTATATGAATGAATGAATGAATCTGTTTTTCCATCTGGCTAGGCATGATGGTTGCTGTAAAGTATCCATATTCCAGGGAGGAAAAGGTGGCATTGGGAAATCGAGAAAGAAGAGAGCCGAACCGAGCCTAACCGAGCCTGCCCATCGTGGGTAGAACATCCACTTCCCATCCAGCAACACCCATTTCCCATTCAAGACATAGTTGCCTTCCCAGAGAGTCGCTCCTTTAGAAGCCACATTTCTGCAAAGGCCATCAGGCGAGGCCAGAGAGTGAGAGGCTGACTGCACCCCAAGGAAATGCCCAGAGAGGCCCCTGGGTCTTTCTTCTCATCTTTCTATCAGCTGAAGGACCAGGCCCTGAACTCCCACCAGGCAGAGTCTGGGTGTCTGTCTGCCCTGCCATTTCCTTCTCATTACTGTTCCCACAGTGCAAGCCACTGTGGTGCTGATGGTGGTCGGAGGGTGTGCATGCACCACTTTTTCTACCTTACTAGAAGACCTACTTCCTGCTGTTCTTGCAAAGCTGGGCGGAATTCAATTCCACTGTATTTTGAGCTGAAGAAGAGCCAGGCTCTGAGAGGAGACGTTAACAGTTCTGGTTCTCACTTCCTACAAGTGTGTTTCAGTGAGCACATGCATAAAGCGCACCTTTGGGGAGACGTCAGAGACCCCTGCAGTCCGGACCATCCCCTCCTAGTCACATAAACGGGGCCCCCACAGCCCGATGTCTACACACCTCTTTTCATGCCGGCCCCAGCCGGCCCACGTCTCTGCTTTATGGCTTCAGAATAGATGAACGCACCACTAAAGCCAGCACTTTTGGAATGAGATAAAAAAGAACTGATTTGCTATTCTTGCTATGTTGAATAAAATGTATCCCAATCATGGTTCTTAAAGGTTGTGCCAAAAAAAAAAAAAAAGGGCCCTTCTTTGATTTCACTCCAGAGTCCTCTGGATGTTAAGTCTGTTTTGGAAAGGAGCTCCGGGTAAAATTTGGTAAATGGGATAGTGCTGGAAGGTGCTGAGGATGTCTTGATTCTAAGGGATCAAAAAAATAAAGTCTCTACATGGTGCTTTTAGCTGTCATGTGAAAATGGTTGTCTGCTTATTTGCTGTGCATCCCATGTTCATGTGTTTGGAGCTCTTGAAATCCCCACGTGGGCTTGTGAACCTTGACAAGCTTTCAGGGGTCCCTGGGGCAGCTGCCATGGTCAACACCTTGGTGTTGTTGGACATTGGAAGGTTTGGGGGTCTTCAAAGCAGTGAGCATCACTCAGGCATCTCAGACAGTGTCAGTGACAACCTCTCACCCACCATCTTTCTCCCTTCCTCTTCCTTCCTGGGAGTGTTTATTCCCCTGGCCTCGGGGAGGCGTGGAATGGCCATTTGAGTAGCTCTTCCATCTAAAACCCAGAACCAGCTCAGTTTTTTTAAGATTAGGCGGCATGGGGATTGGGAAGAGCCTGAACTGTGACTCGAGAAACATCTGGATTGTGTGGTAGTAGCGGGTGGGAAATCCTTGGGCCAGAGTGGAGAGATCTGGGTTCTAGACCCCTTCTGGTTGTCTGCACTGTTCCTCAGTTTCCCTATTTGTAAAATGGTTCTCAAACCGGCCCTCACCTCACAAAGCTGTCGTCGGGATGAAGTGAACGTGCATGGGAAAACGCAATTGCTGCCACGTATCCGTGTATTGAGCTCCTTTTCTGGACGGTGCGTCTTGTTTGTGGGGGTGAACAATGGGAGCGTAGAGGACATTGTGCCTGCTCCTGACTGCTGCTGTGCGTGTCTCTGCTCCTTCGGGACGTGCCTGACCCTGTCTTTCTGCTCTTCCACATGCTTCAGGCTGGGGCAAGTTTGCTCGGCTGACCAGAGCTCTGACCAGCAGCAGGGGTGTCCTGCAGCAGCTGGCTCCCAGCGTGCAGAAGGGCGAGAACGTTCACAAGCACTCCCGCCTGGCAGAGGTAAGCGCAAGGGGCGGCTCTTCGCAAGGCTCGCTCCCAGCAGGTGTGGCCAGAGACAGTGGTTCAGAGCTGCTGTGTTGGCGTGGACGGGACTTTTGGGATCCCCAGACGCCTGTCTTGGCGGGGCTGCTCCTCACAGAGGCTGACTTCAGGTGAGTGGTCCAGCTGCTTTGCGTTTTCTACTTTACCATAGGTAAAAGCAGGCTGGAGAAACTGACTCCGACTTGCTTGAGATTTCAGGTGTCAAACCACTTTTTTATGTGCGTAAGGAAGGAGCGAGAAGTGCTAAATACATGTGGAGTTTTACTTATTGGCTATAGACAGTTTTGTTATTTGAGCAATTCATACTGTTATGGAAAAAGAAGTCATAGGAAGAAAAAGAAGAAAATAAAAATCACTTATAATCCTGCTAATGACATGCTATTATTACACTTTTTTTGGGGTGTGCATTTATGCATTTCTTTGCATACATCCTTTGTCCTAAAGGCTAAGAAATTAAATTTTTCCCATGTTAATGTTTATGAAGTCGGGGTGTTCCTGAGAAGCAGTGTGTTGTCTTCTCTTGCCTTTATATAACCAGGAATGTTTTTCCATCTTAATAAATATACTTAAAATTACTGTTATGTGGATAAGTTTTGTGGTAAGGAAACTTGGTGGTGGTGGTGTTTTCCCTTTTGCTAGGATAAGTGAGAAGCCTCTAGAATATGCTTTATCAGGTTTGCTGTACCCCAGTCACTATCATCTACCTTTAGTTGTGCCTTGTTTTTCAGTGAATGGTCCCGATTAGGGGCATGAAATCCTCTACCCGGCAAACCTCCATCTTACCCAGATGTGGCAATATGAGCTATCCCTCTGCCTGGAGGTGGCCAGTGCAGTCCTTGATTCATGCTTGGACGGTGGGTCTCTTTCTGACCTGACTCCTGGCTCCTGTATTGCTAAGGAAGAAACTCCCTGTGTGCTGCAGCCCCCAGCGGGTTTTCTGGATGTGTGCGGGAATGAATGTTGTATGAGTTAAGTACGGAGGGTCTCTGTAGCAGACGGCAGCTTCAGCCAGCAGTGGGATTGGGGAGCGCTTGTTTGTGTCCTGTCAGAGAAGGAGAAGACGTCTGGATGACGGCAGCATCATTTCTGGTCATGTTGTGGCTCAGTTTCTGGATAAGAAGGCTAAGGATGCCGATGCGCTCACAGCCTGTACTCTCCTTGCCCCTTCTTGTGGTTAATCATGCAACCTCCTCTCTTTCCTTTCTCCCCCTTGCTCACTCTCATCTGGCCACACTGGCCTCTTTCCTGCTCCTTTAATGCACGCTGGCCCTGCCCGTGCCGGCCCTTCCAGTGCTGTTCTTCACTGCGAGCCTTCCTGCATTGCAGTTTCTCTGTGTGGCAACTCGTATCAGTGGTGTTTTACCAGGAAAACAGAGCCAGCGGGGTATTTAATGTATTCCCTGCTTCTAGCAGGGAATTAGCTTGTGTGATGGTGAGGGCTGGCTACACAGCTCCAAAATTTATAAGGTGGGGTTGGCAGAGTCTACCAGTAAATTTCTTCTTCCCAGGGAAACCTCAGTTCTTCTTTTAAGGGCTTTCGACTGATTGGATGAGGCTCACACAAATACAGAGCATAATGTCTTCTCCTGCAAGTTAGCCAGCTATGGATACATGTAGTCACATGTACAAAATACCTGTCCAGGAACACTAATCTAGACACAAATCTAATTGTTCTCTTGAGAGTAACTTGGTGCCATGGCCTACCCAAGTTGACATCCAAAACTAACGTTTATAACTCACCCCTTGTCAGTGGGGTACCCACACACATTGCCCTAAGCCATGCCTAATCCCCAAATAAAGACAAAAGCCATACATCTGTCTGCCGTGATGCAGTTATCCCATCCATGGAGAACTTGCCCACCCTTTCCCCAGAAGAAGATGCAAGGCCCCCGCTGGAGTTTCCTGTTCTTCTGATCTGCAACTTAAATGCTATGATGTAAAGTCAACTGTTATCAACACATCTGGTGTTAAATGACAGGGAATGAGAAAGAGAAGAAAACAACAGTATTGGATATGTATATAGACACCTATACACACATGTATATATAGACATGAATCTATACATGAATTCTATGATATGAATCATGACAAAATAGGGAAGAAATACCATTACTTATCCTCATCTTCACCTGCCCTATTATATAGTTTTACTTATTTATTGAAAACTCCCACTTAGAAAAGTGTCCAGCACATAGTAAGTACCCAGTAGTTTTTTTTTGTTGTTTGTTTTTTTAAGAGATAGAGTTACAGACTATGAGAGACAGAGAGAAAGGTCTTCCGTCCATTGGTTCACTCTCCAGGTGGCTGCAGTGGCTAGAGCTGCGCCAATCTGAAGTCAGGAGCCAGGTGCTTCCTCTCAGTCTCCCACGTGAGTGCAGGGGCCCAGGGACTTAGGCCACTCTCCACTGCTTTCCCAGGCCACAGCAGAGAGCTGGATTGGAAGAGGAGCAGCTGGGGCTAGAATTGGCGCCCATATGGGATGCCGGCGCTGCAGGTGGAGGATTAACCCTCTGTGCCACGGCGCCGGCCCCCAGTAGTGGTTTTTTTAAAACTGATTGCGTTGAAGAAAGATAACGATGTTAGTATTTTTGTCTACTTGTGTGGCATAAGTAGTTGCTCGTTAATAGCCAGTATGAGGCAAACCTTTGGGTCCCATCCCAGGAGCTATTAAGTTTTAGTTAGCTTGGCTGTGACTCAGTGACTTTATTGGTATTTCCCGAGATCCAGCTTTCACCTTTTGGTTTTGTTGATTTTCTCTATCAAGTCCCTACTTTCAGTTTTCATTGCTTTGTGCTTTAAATTTTCTTCTTCTGCTTACTTTGGATTTAATTTACTCTTCTTTTTCTAGCTTCCTAAAGTAGAAGATAAGAGTATTGATTTTTTAAGAGATTTATTTGTTTACTTGAACATTAGAGTGACAGAGCAGGGGGAGGGTGAGGGAAGAGGGGAGGGGAGGAAGGGAATAAAGGAAGAGGAGGAGGGAAAGAGAGAGAGAGAGAGAGACTCCTGCTAGTCCACTCCCCAAATGGCCAAATGGCCACAATGTCTCGGGCTGGGCCAGGCTGAATCCAGGAGCCCAGAATTTCATCTGGGTCTCCCAAATGAGTGGCAGGGGCCTGAGTACCTGGGCCATCCTCTGCAGTTCTCCCAGGCACATCAGCTGGGAGCCGAATCAGAAGCAGAGCAGAGGGGACCTGAGCCAGCACTCTGATATGGGATGTTGGAGCTACAAACAGCAACTTAACCCACTGCAGTCCCAGAATATTGATTTTTTTTTTGACAGCCAGAGTGGACAGTGAGAGAGAGAGACAGAGAGAAAGGTCTTCCTTTGCTGTTGGTTCACCCTCTAATGGCTGCTGCGGCCGGCGCGCTGCGGCGGGCGCACCGCACTGATCCGAAGGCAGTAGCCAGGTGCTTCTCCTGGTCTCCCATGGGGTGCAGGGCCCAAGCACTTGGGCCATTCTCCACTGCACTCCCTGGCCACAGCAGAGAGCTGGCCTGGAAGAGGGACAACCGGGACAGAATCCGGCGCCCCGACCGGGACTAGAACCCGGTGTGCTGGCGCCACAGGCGGAGGATTAGCCTACTGAGCCACGGCGCCTGCCCAGAATATTGATTTTTAATTCTTATTTTCTTATGTATGCATTCATAATGCTGAAAATTTCCCTCTAAGCACTGCCTTTGTTGAAGGCCACACATTTTGATAAGTGATATTTTCTTTTTCATTTACTTACACATGTATTTTAATTTCTTTTGAGATTTCTTTGACTTATGTGGTATTCAGCAGTATTGTTTATAATCTAAGTATTTCTGGATTTTATAGCTGTTTTATCTAGTTGGTTTCTAGGCTAATTCTCCTGTGGTTTGTGAGAAGATATTGTACGATTTCTTTTCTCTTGTTAAGGTTTGCTTTATGGCCCCAAATACAGTCTGTCTCGGTAAATGTCCCATGTGGGCTGGAGATGAACGTGTTTTCTGCCGTGATTGGTGAGGTAGTCTGTGCAAGTCCATTAAATCCAGTTGGCTGATGGTGTTGTTGAGTTCACTGATGCCTTACTGATACTTTGACCTGCTGGGTCTGTCCGCTTCTGATAGAGAGGTGTTAAAATCTCCAATGATAATGGATGTTTTTGTCTCACATACTTTGATGCCTGTTTTTAGCTTCATACATTATTATGTCTTCTTGCTGAATAGACATTTTTATTGCTATAGTGCCGCTCTGAATGCTTGGTAACTTTTGTGCCCTGAAGTCTGGTGCATCAAATTTAACATAGGCATTCCTGCTTTCTTTTGATTAGTGTTAATATGGTATATCTTCCTTTGGCACTTTGCTTTTCATGGATGTGTGTTTTCATGTTTAGAAAACTATACTGTAGAAAGTGTATAATTGTATCTTTTTCATATTTTAAAAACATTTTATTTTGGAATGGTTGAAAATTTACAAAACAAAAATTGTGAGGTAGTACTACATAGAGTGCCCAAATACTCCTTACCCTTTCCCCCTATTAACATCTCATATTAGTATCTGTCAATCAATGCACCACATTCAGCTTCCCTGCCTTTTTGTTTTAATCCAAAAAGCATTTATCCCTCCCCTTCCTCCCAGACTGTAATAATCAACATTCTATGTTCAGCCTGAGTTTGTTGTTAATTTTAGCTCCCACATGTAAGAAAACACATGGGGTGTTTGTCTTTCTGGGTCTGGATTATTTCACCCAACATTATGTTCTCCAGTTGCATCCATTTTGCTGCAAGTGACAGAATGTTAATCTTTTTTTATAACTGAATAATATTCCATTGTGTAAATACCACATTTTCTTTAACCATTCATCTGATGATGGACACCTTGGTTGGTTCCAAATTTTGTCTATTGTGAACAGTGCTTCTATAAACATGGTGGTGCAGGTATCTCTTTGATAAGATCTTACTTTTTATATGCTCTTACAATCTCTATTTTTAATTGGTGTATTTTGACCATTGAGGTTTAAATTTGTTCTTGATATAGATTAATATCAATGGTATTCTTTATTATTTTTCTGCTCATTGCCTTTGTTCTTTGTTCCTGTTTTGTCTTCTACTCTTTTTCTTCTTCTTCTTCTTCTTTTTTTTTTTTTTTTTTTTTTTTAATTTGGGAGGCAGAGAGACAGAGCGATAGAGGCTGATAGGCAGAAAGAAAGCTCCCTCCCACTGGTGCAGTCCCTAAATGCCTGCCACCAGCAGGACAGGGCTGGACTGAATCAGGAGCTGGGAACACAAATCAGGTCTCCCACATGGGTGGCAGGAGTGCAGTTACTTGGGTCATCACTGCTGCCTTCCAGAGCCTTCCAGGCTCTGCATTAGGAAGAAGCTGAACATAGGAGCCAAAGCCAGGTATTGAACCCAGGTACTCCAGTATGAGATATAGGTATCTTAACCGCTAGGCTAAATGCCCATCTCCTTTTTTTTTTTTTTAAGAGATTTATTTATTTCTCTAAAAGGCAAAGTGACAGAGTGAGACCAAGAGAGCAAGAGAGAGACACACAGAGATCTTCCATCCACTGGTTCACTCCCCAGTGGCTACAACAGCCAGGAGCTCCATCTTGGCCTCCTACATGGGTGGCCAAGCCCAAGTACTTGGACCATCTTCTACTACTTTCCCAGGCCTAGCGGCAGAGAGCTGGCTGGGAAGCAGTGCAGCCAGGACTCTAACTAGTGCTCTGACGTGGGATGACAGAGCTGCAGCTGGCAGATAGGCTTGCTGTGTCACAGTGCCGCCCTTCCTCTGTTCGTTTTAACTGAGAGTTTTCTATGATTCCATTTTTCTCCTTAGCATAGCAGTTAATTTTTTTAACCTTTTTTTTTAGTAGATACCCCCAAGTTTGCAATATACATTTACAAATAATTCAAGTTACTTTTTTTTGACAGGCAGAGTGGACAGTGAGAGAGAGAGACAGAGAGAAAGGTCTTCCTTTGCCATTGGTTCACCCTCCAATGGCCGCCGAGGCTGGTGTGCTGCGGCCGGCGCATCGCGCTGATCCGAAGGCAGGAGCCAGGTGCTTCTCCTGGTCTTCCATGGGGTGCAGGGCCCAAGCACTTGGGCCATCCTCCACTGCACTCCCTGGCCACAGCAGAGAGCTGTCCTGGAAGAGGGGCAACTGGGACAGAATCCAGCGCCCCAACCAGGACTAGAGCCTGGTGTGTCGGCACTGCCGCAAGGCGGAGGATTAGCCTATTGAGCCATGGCGCTGGCCTCAAGTTACTTTCAAATAATACTACTTCATAGGTAGTACAAGTACCGTACAATAACAAAATACTCCTAATTCTTCCCTCTCAGTCCTTGCATATTGCTGTCATGCATCTCATTATACATAATCATATACAAGCATGCATATATGTACATGCATAATACACTGTTGCTTTTATTACTTTGATCAAAAAACTGTTAGAAGAATTAAGAATATCTTTATTTTACCTCTACTTTTTTATAACTAAGTTTTTTAAAAAGATTAATTTATTTATTTGAAAGTCAGAGTTACAGAGGCAGAGAGAGAGAGAGAGAGGTCTTCCGTCCTCTGGTTTACTCCCCAGATGGCCACGACAGCTGGAGCTGGGCCAATATGAAGCCAGGAGCCTGGAGCTTCTTCCAGGTCTCCCATGTAGGTGCAGGGACCCAAGGACTTGGGCCATCTTTTACTGCTTTCCTAGGCCATAGCAGAGAGCTGGATTGGAAGTGGAGCTGCTGGGACTCAAACCAGCACCCATATGGGAATGGTTGAAAATTTACAAAACAGGGGCTGGTGCTGTGGCGCACTAGGTTAATCCTCCGCCTGCGGCACCGGCATCCCATATGGGAGCCAGTGCTAGTCCCGGTTGCTCCTCTCCAGTCCAGCTCTCTGCTGTGGCCCGGGAGGGCAGTGGAGGATGGCCCAAGTTCTTGGGCCCCTGCACCTGCATGGGAGACCAGGAAGAAGCACCTGGCTCCTGGTTTTGAAACGGCACAGCTCCGGCCGTTGCGGCCATTTGGGGAGTGAACCAGCGGAAGGAAGACCTTTCCCTCTGTCTCTGTCTCACACTGTCTGTAACTCTACATCTCAAATAAATAAATAATATCTTGAAAAAAAAAAAAGAAAATTTACAAAACAAAAATTGTGAGGTGGTACTACATAGAGTTCCCAAACACTCCTTACCTGCTAAAGAACTGGCTCCTCCACTCATTCTTTCTCTGATGTTATTTTTTTAGGTACATCTGAGTATCTGTATCATTTTCCTTCTCTCTGAAGAACTTCTTTTGACATTTCTTTTTATCTTAAAAAAGATTTGTTTATTTGAAAGGCACAGTTACAGAGAGAGGGAGAGATACACAGAGATATCTTCCATCATTGGCTCATTGTCCAAATGGCTGCAATGGCCAGAGCTGGGCCAGGCCAAATCCAGGAACCTGGAACTTCATTCTGGTTTCCCATGTGGGTGACAAGGCCCCAAGCACTTGGGTCATCTTCTGTTGCTTTTGCATGAGCATTAGTAGGGAGTTGAACTGGAAGTGGAGCAGCTGGGACTCAAACCAGCACTTATATGAGATGCTGGTGTTGCAAGTAGCAGCTTAACCTGCTGCGCCACAATGCCAGCCTCTCTCTTGACATTTATTGTAAGGTAAGCCTGCTGGCAACAAATTCACTTAATTTTCATCTGAGAAAAGCACTGTTTTCACTTTTTTTTTTTTGAAACAAAGAAACCATGCTTTAAAAATTATTTATGTATGAGCAAGACAGAGAATGTTCCCATTTGCCGATTTACTCCGCAAATGCCTGCGCCCACCAGGCCTGGGAAATGCTCAAACTGGAAGCCAGGAATTTGACCAAGGTCTCCCAGGTGAGTGGCAGGGACCCAGTGACTTGCGCCATGACCTGCTGCTTCCCAGGGTGTGCATTAGCTGGCAGCTGCAACTGGGTGCAGGGCCAGGACTTGAACCCAGGTGTTCTGATATGGGATGAGGGCATCAAACCAACATCACAACTGGAAGACCAAACTCCACCCTCTTCGCTTTTGAAGGATAATTTTGCAGGGTATGGATTCTAGGTTGGCAGCTTTTTCTCTCAGAATTTTAAAAATTTCATTCCACTCTCTCCTTGTTACATGGTTATTATTTCTGCCTCTCTATAGCTTAGGTAATTTTTCCTCCTCTGGTTTCTTTGAGGGCTTTTTCATTATTTTTGATTTTCTGCTATTTGAAAATATGGTTTAGCTAGGGTTTTTTTTTTTTTTTTGTCCCCACGGCATTTATCCTGGTTGGTAATCTATGCTGAGGTTTGGCAGCTGGCATTAATCTGGGGACATTTTCAGTGATTATTTCTTCAAATATTCCAGTTTTATAAAAAATTTTTTCTTTATTATTCTCTTTCTGATATTCTATAGAGTTCACAGTTTGTGGTTGCCCTACAGTCCTTGGATGTTCTGTTACGGTCTTTTTTCTCTTTTCAGTTTTGGGTGTTTCTAACGACACATCCTCAAGCCTAGGGATTCTTTGCTCTACCGTGTCCTGTCCACTAATGAGCCAGCAAAGGCACTCTTTTTTTTTTTCTGGATTCATTTATTTATTTTATTTAATGAACATAAATTTCCAAAGTACAGCTTATGGATTACAATAGCTTCCTCCCCCCATAACGTCCCTCCCACCCACAACGCTCCCCTCTCCCACTCGCTCTCCCCTTCCCTTCACACCAAGATTAATTTTCAATTATCTTTATATACAGAGGATCAATTTAGCATATATTAAGTAAAGATTTCCACATTTTGCACCCCCACAGAAACACAAAGTGTAAAATACTATTTGAGTACTAGTTATAGCATTAATTAAACACCTAAGAGTAAATGTGTATTAATTACAGAGTTCAACCAATAGTTTTAAGTAGAACATAAAATGCAACTTTTGTATTGTTGTGGCTTCCCCCCGCAACCCCCCTCCCTCCCGTGGCCCTCCCCTCTCCCACTCCCTCTCCCATCCCACCCTTCATCACGTTTCATTTTCAATTACCTTCATATACTGAAGATCAACTTAGTATATACTAAGCAGGGATTTCAACAGGCTGCACTCACACAACCGCACAAGGTATAGGGTATTGTTCGACTAGTAGTGTTGTTTTTGAGTTTCATAGTTAAACACATTAAGGACAGAGATCCTACATGGGGAGCATGTACCCAGTGACTCCCATTGTTGATTTAACAATTGGCACTCTTATTTATGATGTCAGCAATCACCCAAGACTCTTCTATGAGCTGTCTAGGCTATGGAAGCCCCTTGAGTTCACCAACTCTGAACTTGTTTAATCAAGGCCGTATCACAGTGGAGGTTCCTTCCTCCCTTCAGAGAAAGGCGCCTCTTTCCTTGATGGCCTGTTCCAAAGGCACTCTCCATTTCTGTTATGGTGTTTTTTATCTCTAGCATTGCTTTTCGGGTCTTAGCATTTCCACCTCTCTGCTTACATTGAGCATCTGTTCTTGCTTGCTGTGTGCTCGATCTATGAGAGACCTTAGCATGTTAATTACAGTCATTGCAAGTTCCCAGTCTGATAATTCTAAGTCCCTGCTGTATCAGAGTCTCTGTGTGATGCTTGCTTTGTGTCTTCAAACTGTTTTTTGCTGATCAGTATGTCTTGTGACTTTTATTTTTTAAAGCCAGACATAATGAACTAGATGAAAGGAAGCTGGGTACATAGGCCTTTGATAAGGGACTGAGGTGGCCATGGCCTGGTGGTAGGGTGGCTGCAGCCTGCGATTGGATCTCAGTCTTCCCTGAGCCTGTGCCCCTGGGCTGTGAACTTCATTTGCTTCTCAAATCCCCCCGCCCCTGCCTCAGGAAGGCCAGAGGGTGCTTGAGTGGGGGATTTTCTTTCTTCCACATCGGTTAGGCTCTGATAAATCCCACCAGGTTAGGCTCTTTGTTAAGTAGTTTTCCCCCAGGTAGGTGTTGTTAGCAACAGAATGCTTTGGGCTGTGTCAAATTGTTCCCCATCCTAGGAACATCAGGGTTTTTCCCCTGATCTTCCCTGTGAGCGACTCATAGATCTGAAGGCAGCACTCACAGGAGAGAGAGGAACCCCAGGACGAGGCTCCCCCTGGAGCTGGTCCACTCTGAGCCCCCAGCAAGTGCCCGAGCTCGGTGCCGTGGAGCTGGCTCCTGTGGAGATTCTGCGTAGGTCTGTTGTGATTCCCTGTATTCACTCGTCTCCAATTCAGGGGGCTTTGGCTGTCCCTGTGACCTCACTTCTCTGATGGATCCAGGAAGGGCTGTTGATTTTTCAGACTGTTCTGCCTGTTACTTTGCTGTTGACAGGGTGGTGACTTGCGAGCTCCCTACTTGCTGGACAGGAAACCAGAGGTTGGCTGGGCAATTTTAAGATTTATTTATTTATTTGAAAGATAGAGTTACAGAAAGGGAGAGACAGAGCAAGCATCTTCCATCCACTGACTCACTCCCCTTATACCCACAACAGCCAGGGCTGGGTCAGGCTGAAGCCAGGAACCCAAAAATGCCATCCAGGGCTCACTGTGGTTTGTGGGGGTCCGAGCATTTGGGCCATCTCCTGCTGCCTTCCCAGGCACATTAGCAGTGGAGCTGCCTGGACTCCAGCTGGCACTCATACAGGTGGCGGCTTAGCCTGCTACCCCACAACGCTGGTCCTAGCCAGGTAGTTCTAAACAGAGAAATACCTGTTCCCCATGCACAGCGTGTAGCCCATGTGTGCTCAGTTTTTTTTTTTTTTTTTTATTTGAAAGTCAGAGTTACACAGAGAGAGGGAGAGGCAGAGAGAGAGAGAGAGAGAGGGAGAGAGAGAGATATCTTCCTCCACTGGCTCACTCCCCAGTTGGCTGCAATGGCTGGAGTTGTGCCGATCCAAAGCCAGGAGCCTGGAGCTTCTTCTGGGTCTCCCATGTGGGTGCAGGGGCCCAAGGACTTGGGCCATCCTCTACTGCTTTCCCAGGCCATAGTAGAGAGCTGATGGGAAGTGGCGCAGCCGGGACTCGAACCAGCGCCCATATGGGATGCTGGCAATGCAGGCAATGGCTTTACCCGCTACGCCACAGCGCCAACCCCACTCAGTTTTCTTGTAGATAAGTACAGTTGTCAAATGGAGATCAAGAGTGTGGAAAGTTCTGAGAAAACCCATCCTTCTCGAGGAAGCAATTGGACTGGGAACAGCAGTTTTGCCTTTAAGTGAGCCACACGTAGTATTCATTGTCTAGGCTGATTTCATGCCCTGTTAGGCTGTTCCTGTCTCTGAGCTTGAGCAGTCTTGACTTCAGCCACCACCACTGTCCAGATCTCCCCGCTCTGGGCTCGTCCTAGAAGAGAAGGAAGTGCTTACGGGTCCTGGGTTCTGCTTCTTTCATCCTGCAAACAATTTGCAGGGTTATACAGACCAGGAAACCGGGGCTTGGGGAAATTTTCTCTGGTGGTAAGTAGTGGACTCTAGATGGAAAACTGACTCAATCTGACCCAAAACTCAGCCAGTTTCCCGAGTGGGGCAGTTCCCTTTGCTCACGGTATCGTCCTCCCAGCGCTCGCCAGGTGTATGCCAGGCTGACCAGGCTTCCTGCTCCCACACCTGCGGGGGGACTGTGATCTCCTACATCTCGGTGTAGGGTGCCAGGGTCACTGTCTGCTCTTCGGAGTGTCTTTGGCTGGAGGAGCTCTGTCTCAGGTTTGTTATCTGGGTTGGAAGCAAGCAGAGGGGAAGCAGCATCGGGGCTGGGGCGGGGGATGGCGCTCAGGCAGCAGCATGGATTCCACAGAGGCCCTGCCAGTCTGCCGGGGAGATCTGGAGCAGCCGAAGCAGTTCTTCGTAGGGCAGAATTGGCCAAGCCCGTACCCACCATCTTGCCCAGTGGTTGGCGGGGGCCCACTGGAAGCTCAGCTTTCTGCCGAGGTCGGCAGCTAGCATCACTCCCTGCAGCCGGGCAGGGACTCCTTCTTAAAGTGGGACCCGAGGGGGCTGCTTCTGAGTCCACCACCCCCTTGCTGCCTGACGTCTTTCTGCCTGGAAAAGGGCAGAAAGTCATGTCTGTAGGAGAGCCACGGTCCTGCTCGGCAGAATTCACGGTGTGGACTCCATGCAGGGGCAACCTGGCTGGGGTGGGTTGGCCTGGGGCTGCTCTGTGCTCTCTCTCTCTCCAGAACCTCTGTGGAGAAGGTGGGCGAGGCCAGCTTACTTTTCCCATCACATCCTCTCGAGCATCTTCCCTGAGAGGCAGCCAGGTCAAGATGCAGCCGCAGGCACGCAGTGGTGATGGCTGGGGCACAGGTGTCCATTGAGTCATGTCAGGGGTGGTACCCGGCTCACTGTAGGTGGAATTAGGCGGCTGGGCTGGGAAGTGCCGTCATCTCTCTCTGGGTGACAGAGTGCTGGGCTGAAGCAGCATTAGAGGTTACAACTCATGTGGCAACTTAGCTAGCTATGGAGGCAAGTCACTTCAGCTCCGAGAACTTCGGTTTCCTCCTCTTCCCTCTCTTCTGATGGAGGGCTTAAGTTCTAATGAGAATTAAATGCACTCATAGGTTTGTGAAGAGTGAGGGAGTTTCTGAATGCAAGCACTGTGGCATAGAGTAAATGCTCAACAAATATTAGTTTAATAGTGGATTTGGCTTTGTTTCTTTATATTGCCTTTGAGAAACTGTCTCAATTTTTAGAAATAGAACAGACTATCAGGTTATAAAACTAAAGAGATATATAAAGTAAAAAATGAAATGCCCTTTTTTTTGGAAATAATTTTGAAGCAGTGGATATATTTTATAAGTAGTTGTATTTTTTTCAGGCTTTTAGTATTTAATGAACAAATTGCATGTATTTATCATGTCGTTAATGAGCATGTATGTCACCTCGCATACTTATTTTTTATGGTGAAAACCCTTAAGCTCTACTTGGAGCAACTTTCAAGGACATAATACAGTGTTACTGACCATAGTCACCGTGTTGTGCAGTGGATCTATTGAACGTCTTCCTTCTGACTAAGTGACAGTTTATGTCCTTTGACTGAAATCTCCCCATCTTCTGTCTCCGCACCCCTTTTCCTGGTAACCGCTGTTCTCTGTACTCTGAGTTCAACTGTGGTTTTTGTTGTTTTTTATTTTTAGATTGCATGTGTAAGTGAGATCATGCAGTATTTGTCTTTCTGCGCCTAGCTTATTTGACATAATGTCCTCCGGGCTCATCAGTGTTGTTACAAATGGCAAGATTTCCTTCTTGTTTAAAGACTGAATAGTATTGCATTATATATAATTATTAATAATAAATATGCTTGCTTAATTTTTAAAAGGCTGAATGGTGTTTCATTTAATATTTTCTTTATCCATTCTTCTATTAGAGGACACTTAGGTTGACTGTGTATCCTGGCTATTATGTGTGGCTATCTCTGTGATGCATTGATTGTCTTTGACATATTGATTTCATTTCCTTTGGATACATACTGAGTAGTGGGATTGCTGGACCATATGGTAGTTCATTTTTAATTTTAAAGGAAACTCCATACTGTTTTCTTTATTGGATATACTAATTTACAATCCCACCACAGAGTGCAAGGATTCCCTTTCCTCCACATCCTCTCCGACACTTGTATTTCTTCCTTTGGATAATAATCATTCTAACAGGTGTGCTAGATATCTCTATGTGGTTTTAATATATATATATTTAATATATATATATATATAATATATCTCTGTGTGGTTTTAGTTTGTATTTCTCTGATGTTTAGTAATTCACAGTTTTCCATATACCTGTTGGCTGCTTCCATGTCTTCTTTTGAGAAATATCTATTCAGATCCTTTGCCCACTTTTTAGTTTTTTTTAAAAGATTTATTAATTTGAAAACCACTGTGGCAGAGACAGGCAGAGAGAAGGGGGAGGGAGGGAGACACAGACAGAGTAGGAGAACAAGTGTACACTGTTTCACTCCCCAAATGTCCACAACAGGCAAGGCTAGGTCAGGTGAAGCTAGGAGCCTAGAAATCCATCTGAGTCTCCCACGTGGGTGGCAGGGACCTGAGTACTTGGACCATCATCTGCTTCCTCCTGGGCACATTGGCAGGAAACAGGATCAGCAATGCCCAGCAGCTTTGACTTGACCCAGGCCCTCCTAGTGGGGTGGAGGCACTGCAAAGCAGAAGGCTGACCCCTGCGCCACAATGCCTGTCCCATTTGCCCACTTTCAGAATGGATTATTGGTTTTCTTGTTGTTGTTATTGTTTTTAAGGGTTTATTTATTTGAAAGACAGAGTTACACAGAGAGATCTTCCATCCACTGGTTCACTCTCCAAGTGGCCTCAATGACTGAGGCTGATCTAGATCAAAGCCAAGAGCCTAGAACTCCATCTGTGTGGCGGAGACCCAAGCACTTGAACCATCTTCTGCTGCTTTCCCAGGCTCATTAGCAGGAAGCTGGATGAGAAGTAGAGCAGCTGGGACTTGAACTGGTGCTCATATGGAATGCCAGCATCATAGGCTGTGGCTTAACCTGCTGTACCACAATGCTGGCCCCTATTGGCTTTCTTAGTTTTGAGTTCCTCATGAATTTTGGCTGTTAATTCTTATCAACTGTGTGGTTAGCAAATATGTTCTTCCTTGTGTAGTTTGTCTCTTTACACTGTTGACTGTTTTCTTTGTGGTGCAGAACCTGTTGGTTGTACATTTTTATATTGAATTTTTTTTTGAAACAGAAACATGGTCATAGTATATTTTTTTTAATTTGCTTTTTTGTTTTCCCCACCTACCAGTGTTAGGTCTGTGATATGAGCGCCTATCTCCTTTATTCTTTTTTTTTTAACTTTTATTTAATGAATATAAATTTCCAAAGTACAG